AAAATTCTGGCTGAGTGTGTCAGTCAAGAACAATGAAGGGTTTATATCATGTTTTCGTCCTAAATATGCATTTAATTTGCAACTGGACGTCAAACAGCCATCCATCATCATCACCTTATTTCAGATCTATCAAACTAAATTTAACTCATTTGATAATTAGATAAATTAATATATAGGTATTAGATTAATAATAAAATGTACTCAAAAGGTGAACTCCAGGTTAACTCCTGTTGAAGAAAATAGCTTCTGAAATGCTTAAGTCATTGAAAGTCTTCAGATAAATAATTAATACAGATTTTTTCTTGACATGTTGATTACTTAGTGTTACTTAGTGTTGATGAGTACTGTGTTGTTTTATAGAAAAAGTATCATTAAAATCAATGTACTCTTGGAGTTTAAAAAATGTATTTATAAAATCATGGCATACACTAGTGTTATAGGGTTTAAATAAAAGTATAATTAGTATCACGGTACTCTTAAAGTTTAAAAAAAATCATAGTACTTTCAGAGATTAATTAATGTATAATCAAAATCACGAATAATTAAAATCATGGTACACATAAGTGTTATAGGGTTTTAAAAAATTATGATTAATATCACGGTACTCTTGAAGTTTAAAAAAATCATGGAACTTTCAGAGATTAAAAAATGTATGATTAAAATCACAGTACTCTCAGAGTTAAAAAATGTCCACTAGAAATTAATGATTGATTGATTGATGACTATTAATGTACAGCTGCAAATATTGCAGAGATTTTTGGACAATATAATGTTATTGCGAACCCAATGAAAGTTTTCCACAGTGCCATCTCTATCTTGACCAGGTATTTAAACTTTTGCAAGTTCACCTGTCCTATTGAATGAATACAATAGCTATTTTTCTCTGTGTAGTTTATTCACTGGGACCTTTAAATTTCTTCTAAGAGAAATCTATCATTCATTGATTAAATTACCTGTGTAAAAAAAAATTCTTATATATAGACAAAAATACTTTTTTTATACTCATTAATTGGGTGTGCTGATGTATTTATTCAATATTAATAATATATTTTCATTCAGTTTAATATAAACATTGATTCAATCATAAAAAGTTGATTTCTAACAAAAGTTTTATCAATGTTCCTATTGAAATTTGATTTTTTTTTTGTTTAGTTATAGAATACATTTAAGAAGATCTTAATTTGAAACATCATTATTTTCAAGTTCTTATTCATGTCAAACAAATTTTTTTTTAAAAGGAATAATGTTGAAAGTTTTGTCAGAAATCAAATTTTTATGATTGAATCAATGTTTATATTAAACTGAATGAAAATATATTATTAATATTGAATAACTACATCATCACACACAGTTAATGAGTATAAAAACAGTATTTTTGTCTATATATAAGAAATTTTTTTTACTCAGGTAATTTAATCAATGAATGATAGATTTCTCTTAGAAGAAATTTAAAGGTCCCAGAGAATAAACTACACAGAGAACAATAGCTATTGTATCTATTCAATAGGACAGGTGAACTTGCAAAAGTTTAAATACCTGGTCAAGATAGAGATGGCACTGTGGAAAACTTTCATTGGGTTCGCAATAACGAGATGTGAACATATTCTACTTTGCACTATACCATTAGACATATAGGCTGAGTCAATATTTTTAAGCAGGAAGAAATATCAGTATGATGCAGAAAAACAATTTTGAAATGGCCATGACCCCCCTTATGGAGCTACATATATGGTTAATGTAAAGAATTTTTACATTTTCCACTCCTAATGTTGCCTAGTTTGGGGCCCCCTTTTTCAAAATCCTTGATCTGCATCTGCCTACTCACTACAGAGATGTGTAAGTAGATTGTCAAACAGGATAAAGATTTTGTTTGAATATAAAGGGAGTCATTTTGCAATACCATTACCAACAGAAGTAGATAGAAAAATGCACTCTAAAAAAATTGCATTTTTTTTTTTAGTTTTGACCTTCAAAAAAATGTATGTTTCTATACAGATATGCCCCACCCCTCCCCTAAGGGTCACAGGTAGACATATAATTCATCACTTGTTTTTATGTTCTCCTTACAATTGTAGAGGGGCATTATGTTTTTAAAACTGTTTTCTGTCTGTCCATCCATTTGGTGACATCATTATGAAACTTGATACACATTATCATCATGAAGTGAAATAGATGCATTTGACAACTCTGGGTTTTGACCCAGATTTCATGGTTCACTGAACATGGAAATGGGACAGTGCATATCAGGTCAATATTTGGACACATATATAGGGCTTTGCATCGAGGATGCTGGAGCCCTTTATTTTTCACTTTGTCCGTCCGTCTGTCTGTCTGTCAGTCTGTCCGTCAACAGTTTTTGTAAATGCAAAAACTTCAAAGTAAAAGAAGGAGGCCAATGAAATTTTGTACAGTTGTTGTGCATAATATGTAGATGTGCATATCATATTTTGGTGAAATTCAGCTCATTAATTCTGGAAAAAACTTTGTTTTTGTTATAAAATTACAATTTTTGAGAAATGTCTTTTTTATACGCAAAACTCCAAACGTTTAAGTAGAAGGCTACTGAAATTTTGCACAGTTGTGGTGCCTAATATGTAGATATGCATATAGTATTTTAGTGAAATTAGGCTGATTTATTTTGGAAAAAACGATATAGGTGTATTGAGTTATTGACAAATAATTAAAAAATGTTAAAAAAATCACCAATTTTGAGAATCATTTTATAGTGGTTGGATGTCATTTAAAATTGATTTATAATATAGGCATAATGTGCATTCCAAATTCTTTCCTCAAGTCAAAATTGTGTAGAAAACTTACTTTTTGTTAAAAAATTCCGAGAATCATATTTTTTGCTAGGATTTAAATGAATAAGGTATTATTAGCTATTACAATATAGACATTCTCTGTGTAAAAATTATTGGTCGCACACCAAAATACTTAGTTTAGTGCTTGGATTTTAATAAAACATATATTAATGCTCAGAACACATCCTGAATTAATTGCAAGTGGCAAAATTTATGAAAATTGACAATCTATAAACATTTGCTTTGTATGCATCAGTCTCTCTGCGTCACTTAAAAATGTGGAAAGGGGTGCCCTTGCTGACATGGTTGTTTTCTAGCCTTGTTTTTATTTTACCGAGTAAAGGAGAAAGTTTATAATCTGAAAAAGTTTTTCATTTAATTATAAATTTGATAAATGGCTTTGAGCATTTATTTTGTGGTTATCTTTTTAATTTTGTATTGAAAAAAGTCGGAAGTAAAATTAATTATTTTAGTTTTTGTTTACCAGTTTTCATAAAAGGTGTTAATATAACTGAAAATATATCCTGGTACCTCATTGTAGTTGATAATTTTAATTTACGTAATAAAAGATATCTTTATACTAAATAACAATCGAATCAATACTAGTATTAACAGGTTTCCTTGTAAGCGGTCAGTTCTGTGTTAATTTTATCAAAAGGTGCTTTGAAAATATAACTTGAAATAAAAAATGAATGTGCCACTCTGGTAGAACTTATACTAATTTACCTGATGCTAGCTGTTACAAGTGAGTAATTTTGATTTCAATACCAAACATTGTTTCACAACACCAATTGACCAAAATTTTTTCCAAGTTGCAGTTTAAATTCATTTATTCAAACTGGTCAATTGAATTTGACCCCATTACTTAAGTGAGTGTTATTATTTTGAATCCAAGTGCAGTAGTGTTCTTAACATAGAATTGCTTTTTCTCATTTGATGGTCGAAACAATTTGATGCCTAGTAATTTGGAACATGGGTTTTTCTTTGATTTGAAAACAAATTCTAGCATCCAGCATTTTAGATATATTTGTATATTTGCAACGTGATATATACTCTTAATGAATTAAGATTGAACTGAAAGGGAAGAAAATTGTTTAACAGATGTATGGTTTTGGTTGTAATTCTTTTCAATTTTTAGAATAATATAACATAGATGTGTTGGCATAAGGCTTCATAATGAAAAGTTTTTTAAGCATTTGATTAACATTTCCTTTTGTTTGTATTCCCTTTTCATTGTAATACATTTGTAAAAATCATTATAATCTTAAATTTAAAAACATGAATAAGGTTTAGAAAAGTCCTATCTAATGTTTGTTACTATAAATAACTTTTTTTTAAATCTTATCTTTCAATTGATATAGTTAATTGAATTTGAAAGCCCTTTTTTGCATATTGAACACCTTTTATTTTAACTACAATCATTAAAATCTAATTTAACTGCTAACATCATTGAACAGAAAAATTGGTGAATTGAATGTTTTTAATGGGATTTTTTTTTTACTATGTTTATGAATGAAATCAAATAATTTTATTATGATATAAACTTTTAATGACCAAACATGTGTTTGCTAGCTAATATCATTGAACAGAAAAATTGGTGAATGAAACTTTCATATTCAGATTTTTTCCCTATAATTGTGAATGAAATCAAATAATTTTATTATGATATAAACTTTAATGACCATACAGTTGTTTGCTAAACACTTTTGATTTTCTTTTGTTGATGCTTAAACAGCCATATACGACAGATGGAATTGTAAATTGATAGGTGATTGACTAAATTTGTACAGTTTACAAGTACCTGTCATTTATAACCTTTAGATGGGATTAAAGATATATGTATATGACTTTTATACATGAGCATGTTATACAAAGAAGCATTATTTCACTTGACAAAACTGTACGTCATTCACTGTGTATGTCTTTCACACCTGAGACCTATTTTATTCTTTTAATTAACTCTCTGAAGGTAAGGTTTGCTTGTTGCTCTTTGTATTGTATCGATGATCTAATGATGTTTAATTTTCCACCTGATTTCACTGTAAACAGCGATATCTATTCCTTAAAGAATCGTAGAGAGCGGAAATCATTCTGATGTGATCTTAACTAATGAGAACGTTTAGGATTAGTTTGGTGTTTCATCAATGTATGACATTTTGAACACCTTTTTGTAACATTAAGATCTGTTTTCTTCAGAAACGGGAAAACCTGTTCATATTTCCATGAAGGTCGGTGATGACTGTAAGATGACAGATTCTGACCAGAAAAAAGATGACATCCATTTTGGAGTTTCAGACGAGCACGGGAAGGAATGTGAAGTTGAAATAGATGCTCCGGAAGAAGAGCAAGAAGAAGGTAATAATTTTAAAACTGAATTCGTAATAATTTTGTGATTTATACCGCAGAAACACTCCAACATCATACATATTGTCTTGCAACTTGTCATTTCATTTTTTTTTTTTTAATTTCCTCATAAAATTAAAATTGCTCTTGAAAAGAATTTTGTATTATGGGTCCTTTTAGACTGACATGGTTACCACAAATGTGTCATGTTTTAAATTTTTATCAGTCAAATGATAAAGACTGATTCTTTTCATGTACCCCTCTCATTCAGCAAAGTTTTACTTTAAACAATCCTTTAAAACTCTGATAACTTAAAATAACTCTTACTACAGTTTCTAAGCCCTTTCTTCTTTTTAGTAGCTATTTATTTTTAAATAAGAGATACTAAAATAGAAATACTTCTGACTAGTTTAATATTATGTACTATGTTGGAGTGTTTCATTGTAAAAGTATAAAACATAACCGGATATTGTTTTCTGTGTAATACTAATACCATGCATTGTCTGTTACCGAGAGTTCAAGTCATTAATCATGCAAAGTTTGCACAATGTGTGAACAACCTGAATTCATTATTCTTCAAAGGTGCTTATGTAAGCATTTATTTCAGGTCTTCTGCATCTTAAGATTTTTTATTGTATAAATCTTTTGGTTACCTTTTCTTTATCTTTTTTTTCCCCAGTGAAATCATTCAATTTGTATAAAAAAATCATTTAGATGAATTGTACATATTAGAAATTTCTACATTGATTTTATTTGCATTAAAAGTCCAATTATTGCTACAAAATAGGTTTTCTTTCTACTATAAGATTAACAAATGACTATTTTTAGATATAAAATTTGTTTTTTGTCCATTTTAATACATTTGTTTACTAGTTAAACTAAGGCTTTTTCTGTTTCACAGACATAATTATTGCTCATTAGAAGTAGCCTGGAAAATAATTTGATATCTACCACTAATTGTATAGTTTAAATATGAAAACAGTTATTCTAAAATCTATTTTTGAACCGTATACAATCAGATAAGCGATTTTAATACGAATCTTCTATAATTGATATGTTTTAAGCAGAGAAATTTCCAAATTATATTACATTTCAAGGCTCTGGAATTTGAATCAGAATAATAATACAGCTGCAGAGGAGAGGTTTTGATTGTTGAATGTACTTTTAACCTTTATATTAATTGTATTGCATAAACTGATGCATATCGCATTCCCCAGAGGTTTTTATCTTACATACAACTTCACCTATTCAAAAAACATTGTGAAATATAAGATATTTGCCATGTAATCAGCACTAGGAAAATAGAAAACGATCTGTAATACCTCTTCAGCATCATAATTCTTCTGACATGCAATTCATAAATGATAGCCTCTATTTTGACAACTTCAAAGGAAGCAATCATTCTTTTATTAATTTGCCATTAAAAGTATGTTTGTTTAGACAGTTACGCCACATTTAAATTGTGAAAAGTGGTGTAGATATTTCATTAACGGTCCCTAATGAAGCTGTTATGTGTACTTGACTGTCATTTTAACGAAATTAGTAACAGATCTTTTTCTTAACAAATGAAAACAGAAAAAACCCACAGCAATGAAATAGCTATATGAATAAAATTCTCAGTAAAAACCCATAATTTCTCTTGAAATATTCTTTTTCTCTCATTTTACAACAAATATAGTCAATAATTTGAAAATGGACTATTAAGATTGTTACAGAAGCTGTTTAAAAATTGTTAGAAGTTGAAATTTCTTATTGCTAAGACGAAACTGTTTGATTTAGATGACTCAATGATAGACACAATACTACAATCTTGAGAAATTTTGATTGCAACAGCTTCAGATATTTAAACAGCTCTTGTAACAATTTGATTGAAACATTCACAAAAATTGAAATATTTGTAGCATTTGATTATAGGTTAAGAATACAAAATAAAATTTTCAAAGTAATAATTGCTATAAAATTCATGATAAATGTTGAAATAAAACTCTCAGTGAAGGAAAAATCTATTTATTATAAAGGACTTTTAATTTAATTTAAGTGTAATGTCATATGTCTTAATCATTACATAATATTGTTTTGGTACATGTAGTTCACTACATGTAATATTGTAATAGCCATATAATAAAATCACAAGGTATAGATATGATTTATATGTACTGTCACGTCTTTCTGACTTAAACTGTCGTAATTCTGACATCAATCATTTTTCTTGCTGAGATTTAACGGAGAGATTAAAAAAAAGTGAGATATTACATGTATGTAGACTGAATAAGTCAGTTAACCGTCAGCATTTTGCGTGTGATCACCACTGGTTAACCAAATAAGAAAAAGAAAAGACTTTTCTATGTAATGAATATTTATCGAAATAAATAGCTTTTTATATTTCAAGGATTTAAAAACTATTTTGCCTCAGTTTCTTATAAGAAAAATTGAGTTTTGAATAGTATTTTTTTGTCAAATTTTTGTTTTCAAATAATAAAAGTAAAATTTGGTCCTGTTTATTTATAAATAATTTTTTGTCTGATTTATTCATGTGAATAGATATGTTTTCAAATGTTAAAAGAAAATTCATGATGCAGTTCAGTGCTAGAGGCTTTTCATACAAACAGCATGAATTATATTTTAATGAAAAATTATCATATCATTTTATGCATATCTATTTTACAAGATACTTCATTTTTCTTCAGGCAGTTTTGAAAAATAAATGTTCAGACTTTGATCTGTGTTGACGTAATGTAAAAAATAGTGGTGTAGACACTACCTAAACATCCCATTATGTGTTTTGCACGACTGTGTTTTTACTAACAACCACACACCAAGAATAATGCTGTTGTATTTTTATCAGTCATTGAAAGTTTATAAAAGAATAGAGTTCCAATGTCCCCTACATTGCACATACTTTATCTGTCCAAGGGCAATAACTAAAAATTTTTAAAAATTGTTCTTTTAACTTCTTATAAATATGTTAGAGAAATGTGGGCATAAAATGGCTAACATTGTTATTTTCCATATATTTTTATTTCCAAGAGGCATAACTCCTGTAAAAATAGTTGGTTAGCACTCTTCCAAGACCTTGCTGATATGGCCTTTGATATAAACTTCATAAAAATTTGACAAAAAATGTAGTTGTGGTAGTTCTTACAATGCAATGTTCCTTATAAATAACATATCAAAGAGACATAACTCCTGTAAAAATAAAAGATACAAGACGTTGCTGATACATGTATAAACCTTTGATATAAATTTCATAACATTTCTACAAGAAATGTAGACTTGATTAGGCCGTTAGTTTTCTCGTTTGAATTGTTTTACATTGTCATTTCGGGGCCTTTTATAGCTGACTGTGCTTGATGGGCTTTGCTTATTGTTGAAGGCCGTACGGTGACCTATAGTTGTTAATTTCTGTGTCATTTGGTCTCTTGTGGAGAGTTGTCTCATTGGCAATCATACCACATCTTCTTTTTTATATTGAGAGCACTTAACTATGCAATTTTCTATATAATTAATATTTCCAAGGGGCATAACTCTTAAAGATAGTTGATCTTAAGTGATGTTAGAACTCATTTGAGACTTTGCTGACATAAGCCTTTGATGTAAAATTCATAAATATCTGGCAAGATTTGTTTCCATTTATTTTTATTTCCAAGAGGCATATCTCCTGTAAAAAAAGTTGGTAAGCACTCTTCCAAAACCTTGCTGACGACACTGGCCTTTGATTTAAACTTCATAAAAATTTGACAAGAAATGTAGGTGTGGGAGTTCTTACAATGCAATGTTCCATATAAATAACATTTCAAAGAGACATAACTCCTGTAAAGTGCTTACAAGACTGGATGAACGGACAGCATTTCTAAGTCTATATAGGGTACGATAAGCAGATCTTTATTTCAATATAAAACATGAAAAAATGGATTATGATGCATGGCAATAAATTTTTTGGCCCATCTCTTCTTCTTCTAATCATGTCATCTGCCTTATATAATAACCTGAATGAAATTAAATGTATCACTCAAAGAACTATTCCTGTACATTCAAAGTAAGGAGCCGGGTGGGGTTGTGTAATGTTGTCTAGAGAGATATAGTTCCCATTTGTAATTGCTCAGACATAAAGTGTCTTTCTAAACATGTGTTCTAAAAGCCGAATCTTCCATTAAAAAGAGTAACTTATAAGAAGCACTTTAAATCATTGTTAGCAGGAATTTTCAACCAAAAATAAAATGGACTTTAATTGTTAATATGTAGAATTGTGAATCAATATAACTTGTTTTTAAAGGCACGTTTTACATTTGAATAGCTGAATTTCTGTTACTAACTAATATGTAACCTTAATGATGACAACCTCTACGAAACTAGTGCTTAATAACATTGATTTGAACGGCTTCCATTTTAAGGAAAGTGTTATTGCTCTTGGCTATTCTATGTTTGAGTGGTTGTAAAGTTACGAAAAAGGTTTTGTTTTGTAGGCTATTTATTGTGAAACTGTGAAACATATCTAAATTGGATTCTAGCTCGGAGAATTTTAAATTGAGAAAATGTTATGTTTGGTGTCTAATATGATTTATTTTTAGAATGTGTGTTTCTTTTTTATTGTATCAAAGGCTGCAAAAAACTTCTGATGTTATCCTAAAAATCCATTTATTCTATATTTTGCTATTTTTTTATATAACATTACATAAAGAAACTATTGATGGCAATTTTTTACATGTCAAAGCACTTGCCTTTAATCATAAGCAGTTAAAAAGATCTGTAAGATTCATGCACAAAATTTCTAAGAATTTTATTGTCGATGACTTTTTGCAATAAATCTCATTACTTTTTTCATATATTTTTCTGAATTACATAATGAAAAAAATATATGTCAGAATAAAAATGTTGAGAATGAATGGATTGGATGATCAAATCATTGATATATGTTTACCAAATATTTCATACAATCTTGATATATATGAAATAAATCATTTTTGGCATTTGTTTTGTCATTTTGTTTTGGAAATTTTTGAGTTTAAAATGCTATCTGTCTTTCTCAAATTCTGCCATCAATTGAAATGTCAGGCACAAATTGATCCAATCAAAAGGCTGTCTGTTATTAATTGTGACTTGACCATAATTGTAATGCAACTTTGAAAACATCTGACCCTATGAGATTGTATCATCCAAGATGTTGAATTGGTAAGGAATATACTATTGATTCGTTATTTTAAGTGGGATACCAATTTTAATGGATAAGGTGGTACCAAACACCTTGACTTAAATTAATTTGGCTCGTTTAATTTTCATAAAATTTTGACAAAATATTTACTTTGACCCTTTGACAAAAATATAAAAATTTCAAAAAACTTGAACGACACAATTTATCGGAAAAATTTCATTGGATATATAGCAGTTTGACAAACACTTATTTTGATCATTGAGAAGCTTAATATTTCCTTAACAATAGAAGGTGATTAAAACGTTCAGTTGATTTGTAAAGAGTTATCTCCCTGTAGTGTTATGTACCACCTTTAGTGGGTAAAGATAAACCACAAATTTAAATGTTCAACGAAATACACATTTTCAAAAGACTTTGGCAAAACTATGAAATCAAATAATAATGAAAATACAAGTTTTCCTCAAACCATAAAAATTTGTTTCTATGAAAATAAATTAATCCACAGTATGCGATGGTACATATGGCTGAACATGCTTTTTGTTTCATATTTGGGACAGACATGTTTTAAATATGTTTTTCTCTTATTTGGAGGAGGATTTGACCATATGTCAGGTCTACTTTTGCAGTGATCTGTGGAAATGGTAAATTTCCAAAGCTTGCTTCTATGTAACTAACACTTTCCTAGGTTTTAGCAAATCGTGCTCTCTATTTTGAATCAGAAATTTACCGTTAATGTACTAATTGAATTCATGTTGTATGTTTTTGTTTTTATTACTAATGTATACGTTTTCAGGATATCTATAATGATTTCAAAACATGATTTCTTGTAGTCATACCCTTTAGAGGAAAAGTTCGTAAAGCTTCAATAACTGATAAAGTTGAAAAGTCGAGAATATCTCAAGCCTATATTGATACAATAAAGGTAAACTTGGTGTAGACCCCCTTATTTTTACCTGCATGTAGATGTTCTAACCATGTTACCTGTAGTTCACTAACATCACAAATATTAGTCCATGAATGCATATTTATTATCTAACATATTGGCATAGAAATTGAATTATCTGGGTTTGTTTTCAACTTTTGGCAAAAATTTATCAGTTTTTAATGATTTTTCACAGTATTTTGACATCTATTTTCACAGCTTTTTCACAATATTTTGACAATTATTTTTCTCAATTATTTTTTCACATTATTGTTCACATAAATAATAAGGTTACTTATTTCTGAGGGTCTCTAAAATAAAAAAACAATAGTCTGAGAGTACTTTGTGAAGAATTTTGTTGTTTGATTTATATATTTTATCATAATGAATTGCATGTGCATCTTCCGACATTGTATTTAAAATTTTATTTTATTTTATTAATTATGATTATGATTGCATGTGTATCTTCCAATATTTTATATAAAATTTTGTTTGACATGGTGTTGTAATTGTAGTAAATGTAGTAGTTAGTGAATAGAATAATCATTTAGTTAGCTATAAATACAGAAATAACAAGTTTTTTACTGATATTACTTGTAATGATATTATCAATATTAGAACTGCATCGGTGGTCTCCTGGTAGCATGTTGAACTCTAGTAAGTGCAGGTGGTTGTGTGTTCGCACCCGGCCGGGTCAAACCAAAAATCTAAGAATTGGTATTTGAAGCTAATCTCTGCTAAGCATGCAGCATTAAGGAGTAAGAGCAAAGGCTGGTGGGCTCGGGGTCAGAATAATGTGTCTGGGTAGGGTAACATGTATTCCATTTGGACTGTAACCTTTTGAAGTAGCATGTAAAAAATCCAGCTCATAGTGTCGGTCTAGTACAAGGCAGAGTTGATGTTTATATTACATTAACATGTTCTCGTCCTGAATATGCATTTAATTTACCGCTTGACGTTTTTAAAACAGCCGCCATTCATGACAACATCAATATTAGAAATTTTCCAAATTTCGTCTTTCATCAGTGTAAATTATTTTGCAGTTGAAGCAGTCTCACCTGTAAAGTTTTTATCCAATCAACTTTTACAAAAGTACTGTTCCAATGATGCAACACCACCTTTGAATTATTGCATGTTTAATTTTCTCAACCTTTCAAAATATCTGTTATTTCTCAATCTCCTATGATTGCTCATTAACAATAATTACTTAAGCTTTGCAAGGATTCTGTTCGAAGTACATGTTTATGCTGTGTCTTCTTTAGTAGGGGGCATAATGTTTTCTGGTCTGTGGTTCTGTCCATCATCATTCATTTGTCCAGTAACAGGTTAGAATAGTATCATAGTATACCATGAAAATTGTGGTCAGTTCAACTTTTTACTTTTAAAGTACCGTACACATGTTCATTATTGTCTGGACTTTTTAAAATACATTGTATATGCCAAATTAGGATATTGACCAAGATTTTGCACTTAACTGAATATGGAAATTTGATATTTCAAGTGAGTCATGGTGTCAAATGGACATATATTCTTGTTTTAACAAATGTAAATCATTAACTAATTTCTACATAAGGTTGCAGAGGACATAATGTTTTTCAACTTTCCAATCATTTTTTACTTTTCTTTGACATTTCTTTGATGGCATTTTCATTTCTTAGGTATCCATTTAGATTGAAACATTAAATTGATTGTCTTAACATGAGTTCAATCGTAAAAAAATCTGGATGAAGTTCAAGAACCTTTTGGAAGGGGGGGGCTAAGAAAATACCATAGAGGGGCCTTATTGTTGCACACAATAATAATGTCCTGTCTTTAAGCTAGTCTTAGGTTAGGTTTCTATAACCTTCTTAGCATTATAGATAGAACTAGAGAGACATCTCCATCTTCAGTTTACAATTAGATAGTTCAGTTATCTCCCCTTCAAGCTGTCTGAATGGAATTATTTTCATCAAGCATTTGTTGTACATACTATGCTCAAGTTTCATGTTTGTTCATATTGACAATGTAGGAAAAGACTCTGGGACAGATAGATAGACAGGGGAATACCTGTTTACCCTTGCCTTCTCCCCTCTTTCCCTCAAAAGACAAGTTTCTTTCTGGAGGTACTCTAACTGATTTGACAAATGACTGATGGTTATTAATAAACTATTTACTAAAAAAGGGGAGGGAGGGGTGTCTCACTTAGGTAATTTTGAATGTAAAATTGGAGAAGGGTGATTATTAGGTTATACATGCATATGTACCATGATATAACCATATTGTACTTAGTTGATACTTTTAAACAAAGAACATTGTTACTATTTGTAGATTGAATGTGCAGTGAAATCAAATCTCTTTCGATACTTTATAACAGCATCTGGTTATTTATGACCACAAAAATCTATTTCAACTGAATCTATTTTGATATCAATTTGTCCTGAACTATACATATTTGCATGAGATTCTTTTGTAAAATCAGATTACTATTTTAGTTTAAGTTTTAGTTTCATACCAATTTTCAAAAGCAGTAAATCTTTTGGTGACATTTATTAGTAGAAAAATAACGCAACTTTAATTTGTCACTGGTATGTGAAACTTAGATTATATAATTACATCAATTAAGATAATAAATCACGAAAATAGTGATATTTAAATATATCAGTGCATGCATGTGTATTCCCATGTTTGTTTACAATATTTTTATTTTGTTAGAATATGGTGTCTGCTTTATGTCCACAAAAAAAAATGTTCATTCTTAAACCAGTTTTCTTGCAAATGATACAAGAAATGATCTTCGTTTTTTTTTATAAATTTTATTGATATTTCGATAATTATTAACTATTCAAATCAATGTTGATCTGGGGACTAAAATTACTCTAAAGATTCTCTCAGAACAATTCTAATTTTAACATTATCAGCTTTTAAAATACTAGCTGTTTGTAATGAAGAAGAGAAGCAGGTGATTAAACCTTCTGTAAATGTCTTTTGGCCATTTTTGTCATTGGGTTGCTGTCTCATGTCTTTTGGCCATTTTTGTCATTGGGTTGCTGTCTCATGTCTTTCGGCTTTCATTGTCATTTGGGTTGCTGTCTCATTTACAGATGAATGACCTTCTAGAGTTTTGAGTTATTATCTAATATAATATTTCGGTAGTTAGACAAAAGAAACATCCATTAATGATTAGAAGTCGGAAATCAAATCTAGAAATCATTGCTCCTGTATGATAAATTGGTCTGGTCATCCGTTATGGTATAAATGTCGAGATGTATTTCCAAATACGAGATAATTGACCTAGCTTTATTGTATGATAAATCATAAGATGAGTCCGGAAAATCTAGCGACAGGGTCAGTTGTTAAACAAACTAGATTTACTGGTATCAATTATTAGGAAAATTTAACAGTAAATATTATCTCTGGTATTATATCATTGATTTATAACTACATTTATTTCATTGGTTTAAGCCATTCATGTATTAACCGAATTTTTGACAAGCAGTCAATTCTATTTTGATTGTTCCAGAGCTTTTTAAAACATTTAGTTACTTGAGTTTTGTATGATCAATCTGATTTCAAAAGCTGTCAGTTTCTTTTTATCTTTTATTCGAATTTGGTTACATCTGACACATTGAAAGTATAAGTTCAAGGTTAGAGGTAATTCTTTGATGAAAAAACTGTTTAAATAAAAATTGCTTATATGTGGAGATAAGGAAAATCTTAAGTTGGAAGTATTTTGTATGAAATTGTTTCTCAGTAATGAGCAATTTTGATTACAGTGGCAGTTCAAGACTTGTTCTTATCATGTACATAAGGGTTTTAGTTGCACTTGATATATTAGTCTTTGACAGAAATGGTCATTAACTGAGTGTTCAGTTTGCGGTTTATCTCCCTCATTATGTACATGGATGTATAAAAATTGGTGCTGAAATTAATCAAACAACATACCAAACACCCCATATTTGGATTGTCAAGCCATCTTCATAATCAAACATTGGTGTATTGCATATTTGCAAGATCTACATGTTTGTCACACAGGATTCACCTGACCTTAACCTCATTTCATGGATCAGTGATCAAGGTTAAGAAGTGTTGTGATTATGTAGGTTTTCTAAAAAAAAATCTATGTCTAGTTGTCAACTGTTTTTGGTATATGGAATAATTGCAAAGTGTACATTCCCTTTGGGCAATGTTCATCTGACCTTGACCTCATTTTCATGTTTCAGTGATCAAGGATAAGTTTTGTGATTATGTACAGTTTCTCAGATACTGTAAGAAGTAGGTAAACTATAGTTGGTGTATGGAATGATTGTAAGGTGTACATGTCTATCAGGCAAGGTTTATCTGACCTTCGACCCTATTTCATTGTTCAATGGTCAACATTAAGTTTTTGTATTTGGGTTCATTTCTCAGATACTTTAAATAATGGGTCAGCTATATTTGGTATATGAATTGATTGTATTACAGTGTACATGTCTGTCTGGCAGGATTCATATGACCTTGGCTTCATTTTCAATGATTACTATTATTGAATTATTTTATTTATTTACCTGTAGTATAACCATTATCTTAAAGACTTTCAACATAGATTCAATCGTGATCAGTAAAGCAGGCAAGACATTTCAGTGAGTCCACTCTTGTCAAATATAAACATATGATTGTTTAATTTGCTGTAATATATACTGTAAGTCAATAAAATAATAATTAATCTATAAAAAAATACTGCATTCTTATTTTTCTAGTAATGTGATTTTTTCTGGCTTGAAGCATTATTATGAGCTTATGTCTGTGAAGTATCTTATTCCTGTAATAGAAAATAATATCTAGAAGCCATCTCCAATTATAGTCTTTTATGTGCAACAGTATGGAATTTTATGGACAGTCAGCCCACGTTAGTCGTGAAATTTTAACCAAAAGTTATTTCAATTTCATGACATAATGTACTTAAATAAAAATAACCGAAACCAGTCATAGGAGCATTGATTTACAAGAAAAACTTGTTATTATTTTGGTAGGAAGTGAATAGTTAATGCAACTTAAATTGATTTTTATGTTGTAACTTGACAGATCACAGGATCTTTTTACCGTGGAAGGAAGGCTTCTTATGTGACTGTCATGTTTCAGTAGTATCTTCGCTGTTTGATTTTCTTTCTTCAATGAACCTTGTAGCTGCAATTATTGTTCAATGGAAGCAGTTTTTCATGTCTTTTATCAGGGTTAATTGTAGTAGCTCAAATTGCTTGGAAAAATCATAGTTGAAATTACATATAAATTTCGCACAAATGATTGACTTTTATAGTAAAAAAAAATCAAACTTCTTGTTTTGGTTGATTGATAATGATATTATGAATATAATGAGAAGTATTCCCAAAACAGCCCAATGACATAAAAAAAAGCAAGGAACATTTGATTATTTGATTTATTAATTTAGATATTCTTTAACCTACCGATCAATAATTTAGACCAGGGTTTTCTGGGGGTATGTAAATAGGCAAAAGAATGGATTAACAACTGGTCCATGATGGCCCTAAAATCGTGAAAATTCAGGCCTCAATTATAACATTTTAAAAGGAAGATATACATGAACATGCATTTATATTGAAATTACATAAAATAAATTGGTTTGATATAGTTTTCCCAACATATTATAATGTTGTCAAAATATTGTAGTTGGAATCTGAAAATGTTTTGTTTTCAATTTTAGATTGTTTAAGCTTGTTCCTTTTTCTAAGTTCCCTCAGAACTTAGAATATAGAAGTCTTTTCATTTCATTCAAAAATATTTTTTCTTAATCTTCCAGGAAGACGCAGAACACAGAAAGAAAGAGCTTGAAAAAATGCTCAATGAACATCAAGAAATAGTACAAGAAATAGGACGATCATCATCACGAGACAATTTAGCAGAAGACAATAGAGATCATTGATGTTATAAGTAACTATGGTTACAAAGACTTAAATTGATGTTCTTCCAAAAAAAGGATTGTTGATAGAATTTATTACGAACATCAAAAGAATTACAATATAGTTTTTATTCCACAGTGAAATGAAATGGAATTGAAAATGGAGTCATCAAAATGCTTGTAACTTTAAATGGAAACTAAAAAAGTTACATATCAAAGAGTTGTCCCCCTCTGGAATAATGCATATGTATATTTTTATTTAAAAGTCAGAATACTTTGAAACACATTATTGTATTCATTGTATAAACATAGAACCTTCATATCATGTTAAGCCTAGAGACGTGTTTGTATGCAGAGGAAATATGGGTATATTATTTATAAATTTTTTATTCTATCATGCATATCAATTATTTGAGAGTACTTTTAGTTCAGCATATTTTTTATGGTGATGGTTAGGACACACAGGCAAGATTAATTATTGCAAATTCAGGAAATGCTGTAAAGAAATAATGCTATCAAAATTTATAATGCATTTTTTTAAATTTTTGTAGAACCTTTCTCCTCACTAAGTTTCGCACAATAATAATAACATCACACACATTTCTGATATAACAGTACTTTTAATTCAAACTAAAAGATGTAGAAAATGTATTTAGTTCTGATGGTTTTTTTGACAATAAAAAATTAAAAATTTCAGAATCTCAGAATAGATTTCTTTTACTGAAACTAAAAAAAATATTTCTCTAATAGGATTATAGTTTTTTAAGAGTCAGATAGAAATGTTTGTTAAGCTTTTCTCACTCCAATCTATGTTAAACAGACCTTTATTAACTGGAGTCAACACCAGATGGACATGGTCAATTCATGTTGTTTACCTACCATTACATAGATATTTAATGTAGATTAATTATCACTCAGTAAAGAGGGTGGGAATTGGGTATCCTAATGACAACAAAAGCCCACATGTTGTCATTTTAAGCATACTCGTGTATCAAAATTTCAGCTAACAGGAAGTAGGAAACTGACAGATCCTAGAGGTGCTCATACCTTACTGTCAAGCTGCTAACCAAACATGAAGTCATTCTGAGAAAAGTGTGACAAATATATTTGTTGGAAAAACTGATGGACTGACGTACAGTGTGATAGCCCCAAATCCTAGAGTGATGGTGTATTTATAAGGGGTAAAAATTTTGTTAAAGTAACATTTATAATAAACAGTATATTTATTTATGCATAAGAAAAAGATGATTTGATTATATAAAACAGGGGCAAAAATATAACGATGATGGCATCTAAACAGTAGCTAAAAGGGGATGTTTGATGCTTTCTCCATTAAGGCCATTCCTACCCTTAGTTCAATTTTATATTTAAAATGTAACTGATTACCCCTTTGTGTTAGAAATATTCATTTTGATGATTTTTATTTAAATCAGCAAATATTGCTAATGTGAGAAAATTGTTATTATACAATAATACATGAAATTGACCCCTTCCATCTGTGTTGAACACAATTATTATGGTCATTTATGTAAGTTGTTATTCTGAATATATGTCAATATTGAAAGAGAGACCTTTGACAAACACTTCACAGAGTTTATTATCATAAATTTACATGTGTCTAGCAAATATTCAGCTTTATTTTAATTTTATCAAAAAACTGTGTAAAAAAGTGCTATGTTGAGACCAAAATTGCTCAGGTGGGAATCACGGTCACCATGAGCAAGCTGTTTCACCTGAGCAATATTGATTTCTATGCCTTAACTGTTTTTTATATAGCTATAGATAAAATTTAAATAGGGTAATACATACATGATTTTGCTTCTAAGTATGCAAACTGCATTGACAGTTCAACATTTTTTTTTACTAAGAGCTAATGTCTTCAAATTTTGAAAATGTAATTTAATAAAAATAGGAGTGTGATTATATGTCCTTATTCTCTGTGCATGAAAATTTAGCACACTTAAAGAGAAATGATGATATTTTTAGAATTTTCATTGTTTAATTAATGTATGAATAAGAAATGTGAAACATTTTTGTGTAAACTGTCCAGTAGAAATGTTTTTATATGTATATATAACATTGCCTGTGGTTATAATAAGCATTCATGCTGTATTTGTCCAGTCATTCATTAACAGTATAAAGTGAATTTTCTTCAGATGCTATTACGAACATTGTTTGACAGGATTTTTCTTAAGCTTTTTGCTCAAAGGCAGCTGCTGCTGCTTTTGTTGTTGCCACTTAATGATAAATTTGAGCATAAAATCAATTGACTGCTTTTTGTATGAGTGGACAAACTAATTGGATAATATTAGGTACGGATATGTTTCTTTTGTAATTCCTTATTTTTGGAATTGTGTACGACAAATCCAGGAAGTAAAAATCAAAATGGCTATATAGTAAATCAATATCACTTTAATGAAAGATTTCTCTTTGGTGAATAAAAGAAAGAAGGAATTTATAAACAAGACAGAAAATCTAGCTTCACCCTATTGATGATTCTAGACTCCTTTAGGTCTATAAATCTTAATATGGAATGTTACTATATAGATCTTCCTTTAATTTTAATTTTTTCAACAACTTGACTTTTTCTGTATGAACATTCACAACAAAGTTGTATATCCTTCAAGATATTAATTTCAACAACCACTTTTCTATAAATAGCTCATGAAATTTAAATTGGAGTAACTTTTTTTTCTAACAAGAATATTGGTGGTTTACACATGAAGGGTTTCTGCTGTAAAATATAAATTTAGGTTGGTAGTATATTACACTTAAATTTTGAAGCATTCAGAACATCCTGTTTTGGCTATTGGATTTTGAAAATGTATTGTGTGGAATCTTAGTAGCAAATTTAAAAAAAACTTTAAGCTATTAATGATGAAAATTTAAAAATCAAAAAAAGTAATATACCAGAATTTGTATTTTACTCTATAATATCAGTCTTCTTTATGTTTACTGTAAATTATTGAAAAAATGTTAACCTTTGGAGCTTTGGCTGGCTAGATGTTATTGAACCTATGTTCTATAGTAACACTGTTGCAGAATTTTCTCGGTTAATCTTAAAATGAAAACATCCAGACCACAACACCTGAGGTTCATATCTTAAATTTCCAGTTTTTAATCATATTGACAGTGTTGTAATTAATAATGTGATTTGCTAGATCAGCTTATCTGTAGACTTTAAACTGTAGTTGGTCTTAAGTTTGTGCTTTCCCACATGAATATGCTTTAATTGTGACTTCCTTTATAGAAATATGATAATATAGCAATAAGAAAAAAATAATCATGTTTATTCCTTTAAGGAAAATTTGTAGGCAAGTATATTGTAATTAGCATTTACAGCATAAACCATCCATGTGTTTACCTTTTTCTTTGATAATGGTTGTTAAATTTACATTGTTACAAGAGCATTTTAGAACATTAACTAGCTAATTGCCTTACAGGGACTTTGGCAAACCCTCTGTGATTGAATCTTTACACCATCATGATGGTTTTTTAATTTCCCATAATTCATGTTTCAGTGGGCAAATATTTTTAAAGAAATGTCTTAATTTATTTGTAAACTTACTATTCTACAGTTTTTTCCTATTTATTAAATAAATTAAGCCTATAATTTCGAAATATATATATTAAAAAAACGAATCAAGCTGTTTTACTTTTGATGGCCTATTCTTTTGCAATCTAAATGCAATTGACCACTTGCAAGAAAATGAATATATGATTGGTTTATATGCTATTACTGTAAGATATGAATTTAAAATGGTGGTTACCTATGATGACAGTTTTACCAAGCTGAAAACACTGGATGATATTTTAGTTAAGTATTTTTTTTAGCAAAATTTGTTAAAATAGCTGTAAAATCCAAAGGGGGGATAACTCTCAAACACCCTATTATATTTGTACAAACTCCATGATCATGATAGTTGATGAAAATTTTTGAATAAAATTAATTTATTTTAAGAAATGTAAATATTTTTGAATTGTAAATAAATTCAAACCATTGTGTCATTCATAACCATTCTACATTGTTAACAATCATTCCAGCATTTCATTTCTGTACTGTTCATATCTAGCAAAGTAACTACCATTGCCAAGAAACAATTGTATATTATACGGTTTCAGGTGAAGTGTAGAGGGCATACATTCTCTCTTTGTTTGGAGAAAAATGTTTTGCAGTAAATCGTAAAAAAAGAAATTTGGCCAGCTTTACTTGCCCCTATTTTTACCGGGGCACATTTGGATTGAAAAAAATGTGATTTCTTTTTGCGTAAAATCATTAAAATTTACATGAAAGTCTTTTTCGCGTTAATACAATAGATTCCACCTTCTGGGTTAATGTCAAGCTTCTTCATCATTTTCTAAATTCTCCTTTGTTTGAATCTTGAATGGTTCACCACAGAGACAAAAATAAATCTCACTATACTTACTTTAATGTCCATGAAATGCTTTTCTGGAAGAAGAAAAAAAATTACCAGGCAGACCAGTATTGACATTTTGACTCTTGAGAATTAAGTTATCTCTAGAAATGTTGGATTTTTATTTAAACATACATATTTTCAGATTATCATTACATGCACTTAAAACTGAGAACATATCAAATTTTTAGAATTTTCTTAAAGATTTGTTTCATATGCATTATGCACTTATGTACATATCTTTTTATGATCAATTTAACTTTCAAATTGTGTTTTCACCTTGAAAAATATTTTTAAACAAGTCTAGGTGCAAATTTGAACATTAAATAGGGAAAATAAACTTTCCTGAATATTTCTCTTTAGCTTTTCATTGTGTTTTCACCTTGAAAAATATTTTTAAAAAAAGTACAGGTGCAAATTTGAACATTAAATGGGGAAAATAAACTTTCCTTTATTTTTCTCTTTAGCTTTTCATAATGTTGCCTTTATGTTCTCAAAAGAGTTATTTGTTAAGCATGCTGGTAATTTTGGTCATCAGGTTAGTCTGTTTATTCAAAGTAATATTGAAAAAAAGAAATGAACTGACTTACAGGACAAGTAAAATTACCAGACTCTACGGTACTGTGGATTCATTTATTTTTGTGGGTACCAATTTTCGTGGATTGCGGAAAACAGGCCTTTTTGTGGATACGTGATTTCATGGTTTTGCCAAAGTCTGCATACAACCTAATAGAAATTTGTTTTTCGTTGAACATTTAATTTCGTGGTTCACCTGTACTAATGAAACCAACGAAATTTGGTATCCAACAAATAATACTGAATCCACAGTATGTAGTTCTCTATTGATCTATTACTTAAGCTCATTAAAAACATTTCATTTGTTTTGTCCAGACAAGGCTATGTGTAAACTGTACACATTCATAAGTCAGTCTTTTTTGACAGTAGCAATGTATACTGTTGTAGAACAATAACTATGAACTACATAGAATATTATATAATACATGCATTTCCGTTTTAAGTGCATTTTGTTATTGCATTTATTCATGTGACAATTTGTCATTTTAGAATTGTATATTTTGATGACTTGAGTGATGTATTATATCATATAACATTTTAAAATATTAATCATTATACATACAATTCTTTCGTAATTGTATTGATTTAAATTGTCAACATGTACATTTTTTTTACCCAGCCCAGCTGACAGATGATGTGACGATATACCCATTGTACAACAGTTTCAGTGTCTCATTTTTGTTCCCATTCTCTGCAAGAATTGTGGTGTACTCAGAATGACGTGTTAGATCTCAAATATCTGTGTTTTTGTATTAATTGATTATATTCTTATTCCTAGTTTGGCTTAGACTTGATTGTGGCACATTACAATTAGTTGTTGAGTGTTTTAAAATTTGCAAAACAAATGGGACTTGCTGATGGTCAAACTTTAAGATTATCATTGAACGTGTATGTTTTATCTCAGGTGATAATTTATAATACACAGGAAGTGTATTTGATTTTTAAGAGATATATATTGAATATATCAAATTGATGCAGTTTTGACTGCAATTTCACCAAATTCTGTAAAAAGCATAAGCCTATGCATACGTTTTACAACTGGATATTCAATACTATTGGAAAGTATATCCTATGTGGAATGCACATTGAGTTATCTCCCATATCTCAGTATTTTTATTAAAATTTTCATTGAAACTCCAGTAACCTACAATCAATTATTTTGATGCTTTAAAAATAATAATCCTATTGTTCCATTCCTAGGAAAGATATGTAAACAACATATTATAGATATCTTTTATCAAGCCGTGTGTTTTGATTTATTTTTTTTCTCGTTTGTGTTCAGCTTACATTTTCTTTTCTAAGTATAAAATGAGTCAACAAGAAGTATCCACTGGATGTAAAGCAACCAATGATTAATCTATCAAGTTATAAAACAGCTTTTGTTTTTACAACATTGAATTGTTTCAGGACTTTAGGGAGCAACCATTTCATTTATGTGCTGTTGGGTGAGAAATTGCTTTTACACTCACAAATTTTTTTCACAAAATTTACAAAACTTTGCTCTTTTTTTTTTGCTACAGGCACATTCAGTTTTTTTTTATTTTGATATATTGATAGATTTTTTTGTGATCATGGAATTGTTCTTAATGTCTTTGCCTTCCCTTACAAATTCAATTGTTGCTCCCTTTATACAATGTTATATAACTCCCTTGCTGAGATAAATTCTTTCTATTCTGTTGTCAAGACTGTTAACCAATGGGACATAATATTGTATGTTTTTTTTATTGATGATAGATATAAAACTGAAAACAAATATAATTCAGTTTTTCCTTGCACAATTAATAAAAATATTTTATGTACCCTGAAGTTTTTCTTACATTTATTTGACCAAAACTATGTGTCTTGTCACGACTGTAATGTACCTCAACAGTATATGATTAAATGTCATACTGTGCCTCTGTGGATTGATTTATTTTCATGGATACCAATTTTAGTGGATTGATAAAGTTATGTATTTTTGTGGATACTTGATTTTGTGGTTTTGCCAAAGTCTTGAATATATACAAGCCAATAGAAAAAAGTAAAATAACAAAAATACCGAACTCCAAGGGAAATTCAAAATAGAGTCCTTTATAAAATGGCAAAATCAAAAGCTCAAACACATCTTACAAATAGAAAACAACTGTCATATTCCTGACTTGGTACAGGCATTTCCTTATGTAGAAAATGGTGGATTATCTATACCCTCAAAATCCCCCCCAAAAAAATTAATATCCAACAAATGATGAATCCACAATAACTTGTCTTTTGTGAAATGGAGAATTTGGTATTGATTTCAGTTCTTTGATAGTTTCTGTATAATTTATTCACATATTGTTTTAGTTTTCTGGATGATTTAGATCTTGTCATAGTGTCTAGACAACTGAAAATTGTTGAAGAGTATGTTGCCCTTGATTAAGTCTTTTGGTTTGCCGACTCATTGAGGTACACCCCATGAGGGCCCATATCATCCTCAGCCCTCTCTTTATAGTACTCTGGTCTTCAGTGTGGAAGGTAATGGGTTTGATCTCCATCCAGTCAAACCAGACTGAAAAATTGGTTTTTGGAATTACCTTGTGAATTTTAAAATATGTTTTAAATCTAGCTAAACTTTTGGTCCAGTAAAGTGCATTTCAACTTCATACTATATTAACCTTTTCTTTTCTTTAATATGTATTTAACTATTGTCCCTGCTATTCATCCAATATATTGTATCCATTCTATCATTTGTCGGTCTCCATTTTTTTCAATGAAATTGCATGAATTAATTTTTACTAATGGCCCAAAGGGCCAAAATCAGCTTTCTCATAATTTGACGTCTGTCGTCCGACGTTAACTCTGACAAAAATCTTCTCCTTTGAAACTACAGTTCCAAATTTAAACAAAAATGGCCACAATAATGTCCGATGAATCCACCTGCCATCCAACATGGCTAAAATGCAAGTTTTATATATTATCTTAAAAGTATCCTATAAATAGAGAAAATCTGACAGGCAGAAATGTTAAGAAAGATGAGATCTACCTATTGTTCATGTAAATCAAAACTGTCAAGACAACTTCTTTTGGAAATATTGCCTTTTAATGACAAATTTTTTCATTTTTTTTCCTTTGCCTATTATCTTGAAAGTTATAAAAGATAGAAACTTTACTAGCAAAAATGCTCAACAAATAAGTCCACATGGTCCAAATTGTCAGATGACTCCATATTGGAGTTTGCCCTTTAATGACAATAATTATCAATTTTTTGCATTTCTGAATAATTTAAAAATAATTATAGGTAGATAGAAACTTAAATAAGACAAGAGTGCACACGCTGAAATATCTCGCCTACTATACTGACCATTGATTTTATGTTGATAGTCCTAAATATAAAGTTTTACTACAAGTATCACACTAACATTTATGATCCAAGAAAGTAAGGTCAAGGTCAGATAAACCAAGCCAGAAATAAATGTACACCTTTAATACAATCATTCCATACACCGAATATAGATGACATAGTATAAAGAAACAGACAAAACCATGGGAAATTTTATATTGACCAATGAACCATCAAAATGAGGTCAAGGTCAGATGAACCCTGCCAGACAGACATGTACAACTTAAAATCATTCCATGCATCAAATATAGTTGACCCATTGCTAAATTTGCTTATAGTATCTAAAAAATTCGTAAGGGTTGCACGGAACCCAATGTCTCGCCTACTTTTGCTGTTAGTTGCAGGCTCAACAAAAATGGGGAAAAAATTATTTAAAATATTCCTATAGATACTATGTAAGAAGCTTCTATCCAAGTTTGATAAAAATCCAGGATGGTTTATGAATCTAATAAATGTTTTAAAAACTTTAGCTGCAGACTGTATGTAATGTTAACTGGAAGAAAAACTAAGTCCATTTATAAGTAATATACAGAAAAACAGGAAATAAATTTTTACGAAATTTCCTTCTAGATACTAGCTTTTGATCATAAACAAGCTTCTGTCCAAGTTTGGTACAAGTCCAGGATAGTTTAAAGAAAGTTTTTAAAATTTTTAAAACTTTAACCACAGAGTGAATGTAATGTTGTCTGGCAGAAAAAACTAAGTCCATTTATAAGTAAAATACGGATAAACAGGATTTTTTTTTACAAAATTTACTTCTAGATACTATCTTATGATCATAAACAAGCTTCTGTCCAAGTTTGGTACAAATCCAGGATAGTTTAAGAAAGTTATTAAATTTTCAAAAACTTTAACCACAGAGTGAATATTTGTGGACGCCGCCGCCAACGACGACGGAATATAGGATCGCTATGTCTCACTTTTGCGACAAAAGTCGCAGGCTCGACAAAAACAAAGTTAGCCAGCAAAACTGAACATTGACCAATGAGCCATGAAAATGAGATGAAGGTCAGATGATACCTGCCAGACAGACATATACACCTTACAATTATTCCATTAACCCCGCCACATTCTGTATCTACCTGTCTCAAGTCAGAAGCCTGTAATTCAGTGGTTGTTTTTTCTTGCTGTGTATCATATTTGTTTTTCTTTGTTCTGTACACAAATGAGGTCATTAGTTTGCTTGTTTGAATTGTTTCACATTTGTCATTTTGAGGACTTTTATAGCTTGCTATGCAGTATGGGTTTTGCTCATTGTTGAAGGCCGTATAGTGACCCATAGTTAGTAACTTCTACGTCATCTTATTTTTATTATGTGTATGAATTTATAGCTTAGGTAAAGCAGCATCACTGGAAAAATAAAATATCAAGCTATGCACTCTGTTTTATTGTTTAATACTTAAACTTTTCACACAAGGATATCTCTTGCCTTCTTATGGCAAAGCTGAAAAAAGCAATCGTATGTACATGGTGTTTACACTTGTCAAGTATATCAAAAACTTGCCTTATATCAAAATCCTTTCACCAGTACTTCATCTTGATCCAACCATCAGACTGACTTTAAAAATATCATTTCAGTCAAAATTTCCAAAGTCAAATGCCAAAGACTAAAGGGCACAAGACTGAAGATTTAAAGATTAAATTCTTGCATGGAAACAAGATGATAGTAATTTTAAAACCATAGACTTTCTTAAGTGGTGCATGTTAATCTAATCACAAACTTCAATTGTTCACACAAATAATACAATGATCGCCTTAATTCTGGAAAAAATGGCCTTTTATTAAAGGCATGTCAAAAAAACAACAATTTGCAAAAACAACAAAAATTTACTTCATACACTGGAAAATAGCCTTTTCTTAAAGGCATCACAAAAACACTGGAAAAAATCACAAAAAATTGCAAATATAACAAAAGTATCCTTCATATACTTGAACAAAAGCTGTTTGTTCCAGGCATGGTATAAAAATTAAAAATAATAAAACTTTCACAAAAATTAGCAATTACAAAAACATCATTACACTGGAACAATAGATATAGACTTTTATTGCAGGCATGACATTTTAATCCAATAACAAATTTACAAAATACAACAAAAATATACATCATACATGTATAATTGAGAAAAAAAAACTTTTGAACTGCAGGCATAGCGAATACAACAAAGTATATTTATATTTTAAACATACATTCGATCTATAAAAAAATACATGCAATCTCATAGGTATACATTGTACATCTGCATGTACCTTTCCATTTTAATATACATGTATACGTCATTCATAAATATGATTTTCACCAATAAAATTTGTTTGAAATGTAAATTAATCTTTTTTCAAGTTAAAGCTTCCACCCACTGTAAACAGCTCTTCAGATATATCCATATAAAATAAAATAATAGATGTGTTGTTATCGCCAATGATACATTTTTGTTCACCTGCGACTAGTCTAAATATAGCAATTCTTAATTCTACCATAATGGCATTATCAATATTCAGGTTCCAACTGTGGTTGTTTTGTTTAAACATTAAGAAAATCTTCAAAACTTCATCCATTTTATGAAGCTTGGACAAAGGATTCTTCAGGATCGAAAGACAGAAACAAATACAAAGTTTTAAAAATATTTTTTTCATTTTTTAAATGTACTATTTTTGTTTTGTACATAGTCTATAAGGTTTAAGATTTCTAGACATTAATAACTTTACCAAACCTTCTTTGAATATTATTAAGCTTGGACAGAAGCTTCTTAAAGATCAAGAGCAAAATTTGATTTTATTTCTCATTTTTATGGATAAATGGACTTTTTAGTAGTTTCCATCTATTATCGATAGTTTTTTCCAAATCTTCATACAATCTATGAAAATTAGATAGAATCTTTTTTATGTTTAAGGGATAATACCTGCAGCAAAATTTTTAAAATATATTTATTTCTTTGCTTTTTTCAGTGCTCTTTTTATATAGATGGAAGTAAGACTCTTCCCAGCAAATCTTTACATTCAGTCTTAGAATATTATGAAGTTTGGAAAGCTTCTTTGTTATAAAGAAATAGCAACTGAAGGAAAAAATAGATCCCCACCCCCATTTTTTACTGATATAAACAGACTTATGTAATCTGTTATAGGCAGTGTAAATTTGACCTTTGACCTACTAACCAGGGTCTTGTTCTTTTCAAGGGTCATTTTCCATCCCAGTGTCCAAAATGGGTGATAGTTTATTTGATGTTGAGAATGATTTTGTGCTATCACAATTCGACTTGCACAAATTCCTTGAAGATGAAGAGAAAATCTTCTGTATTGTTAGATTTAGACAAATCAGAAGATTTCGGTTTAACTACTAAGCAAACCTAAGAGAGGTTGTAGATGGAAATATTTTATGGTTACAGTTACTATTGCAGTTGGTAAATTAGTAGCCACTGTATTCAATTTCAGCATTTTGGAATATAA